CTTGTTGACAAGTTTTTGGAACAGCATTGTCACAACTTGTTAACAAGCTTGCTACAAACCCGTTGAGCAGATATCTTGTTGACAAGTTTTTGGAACAGCATTGTCACAACTTGTTAACAAGCTTGCAACAAGCTCTTGTTGACAAGTTGTTGGAACAGCATTTTCACCACTTGTTAACAATCTTGCTACAAGCCCCTTGAGAAAATATCTTGTTGACAAGTTGTGGGAACAGCATTGTACTACTTGTCAACAAGTTGCTACAAGCCCATTGAGTAGATATCTTGTTGACAAGTTGTTGGAACAGCATTGTCACAACTTGTTAACAAGCTTGCTACAAGGAGGAAATATCTTGTTGACAAGTTGTTGGAACAGCATTGTCACAACTTGTTAACAAGCTTGCTACAAGCCCGTTGAGGAAATATCTTCTTGACAAGTTGTTGGAACAGCATTGTCACAACTTGTTAACAATCTTGCTACAAGCCCGTTGAGCAGACATCTTGTTGACAAGTTGTTGCAACAGCATTGTCACAGCTTGTTAACAAGCTTGCTACAAGCCCTTCGAGGAAATATCTTGTTGACAAGTTGTTGGAACAGTATTGTCACAACTTGTTAACAAGCTTGCTACAAGCCCGTTGAGGAAATATCTTGTTGACAAATTGTTGGAACAACATTGTCACAACTTGTTAACAATCTTCCTACAAGCCCGTTGAGAAAATATCTTGTTGACAAGTTGTTGGAACAGCATTGTCACAACTTGTTAACAAGCTTGCTACAAGCCCGTTGAGAAAATATCTTGTTGACAAGTTGTTGGAACAGCATTGTCACAACTTATTAACAAGCTTGCTACAAGCCCGTTGAGAAAATATCTTGTTGACAAGTTGTTGGAACAGCATTGTCACAACTTGTTAACAAGCTTGCTACAAGCCCGTTGAGAAATATCTTGTTGACAAGTTGTTGGAACAGCATTGTCACAACTTGTTAACAAGCTTGCTACAAGCCGTTGAGGAAATATCTTGTTACAAGTTGTTGGAACAGCATTGTCACAACTTGTTAACAAGCTTGCTACAAACCCGTTGAGGACATATCTTGTTGACAAGTGTTTGGAACAGCATTGTCACAACTTGTTAACAAGCTTGCTACAAACCCGTTGAGGAAATATCTTGTTGACAAGTTGTTGGAACAGCATTGTCACAACTTGTTAACAAGCTTGCTACAAGCCCGTTGAGCAGATATCTTCTTGACAAGTTGCTGGAACAGCATTGTCACAGCTTGTTAACAAGCTTGCTACAAGTCCGTCGAGGAAATATCTTGTTGACAAGTTGTTGGAACAGCATTGTCACAACTTGTTAACAAGCTTGCTACAAGCCCGTTGAGGAAATATCTTGTTGACAAGTTGTTGGAACAGCATTGTCACAACTTGTTAACAATCTTGCTACAAGCCCGTTGAGCAGACATCTTGTTGATAATTTGTTGGAACAGCATTGTCACAGCTTGTTAACAAGCTTGCTACAAGCCCGTCGAGGAAATATCTTGTTGACAAGTTGTTGGAACAGTATTGTCACAACTTGTTAACAAGCTTGCTACAAGCCCGTTGAGGAAATATCTTGTTGACAAGTTGTTGGAACAGCATTGTCACAACTTGTTAACAATCTTGCTACATGCCCGTTGAGGAAATATCTTGTTGACAAGTTGTTGGAACAGCATTGTCACAACTTGTTAACAATCTTGCTACCAGCCCGTTGAGAAAATATCTTGTTGACAAGTTGTTGGAACAGCATTGTTACTACTTGTTAACAAGCTTGCTACAAGCCCATTGAGCAGATATCTTGTTGACAAGTTGTTGGAACTGGAACAGCATTGTCACAACTTGTTAACAAGCTTGCTACAAGCCTGTTGAGAAAATATCTTGTTGACAAGTTGTTGGAACAGCATTGTCACAACCTGTTAACAAGCTTGCTACAAGCCTGTTGAGAAAATATCTTGTTGACAAGTTGTTGGAACAGCATTGCCACACACAAGTTGTTGGAACAGCATTGTCACAACTGATATCTTGTCGACAAACAAGCTTGCTACCAGCCCGTTGAGGAAATATCTTGTTGATAAGTTGTTGGAACAGCATTGTCGCAACTTGTTAACAAGCTTGCTACAAGCTCGTTGAGGAAATATCTTGTTGACAAGTTTTTGGAACAGCATTGTCACAACTTGTTAACAAGCTTCCTACAAGCCCGTTGAGGAAATATCTTGTTGACAAGTTGTTCAAACAGCATTGTCACAACTTGTTGTTGAGCAGATATCTTGTTGACAAGGTTTTGGAACAGCATCGTCACAACTTGTTAACAAGCTTGCTACAAGCCCGTTGAGGAAATGTCTTGTTGACAAGTTGTTGGAACAGCATTGTCACAACTTGTTAACAAGCTTGCTACAAGCCCGTTGAGGAAAAAACTTGTTGACAAGTATTGCAACAGCATTGTCACAACTTGTTAACAAGCTTACTACAAGCCCGTTGAGGAAATATCTTGTTGACAAGTTGTTGAAACGGCATTGTCACAACTTGTTAACAAGCTTGCTACAAGCCCGTTGAGCAGATATCTTGTTGACAAGTTTTTGGAACAGCATTGTCACAACTTGTTAACAAGCTTGCTACAAGCCCGTTGAGGAAATATCTTTTTGACAAGTTTTTGGAACAGCATTGTCAAAACCTGTTAACAAGCTTGTTACAAGCCCGTTGAGCAGATATCTTGTTGCCAAGTTTTTGGAACAGCATTGTCACAACTTGTTAACAAGCTTGCTACAAACCCGTTGAGCAGATATCTTGTTGACAAGTTTTTGGAACAGCATCGTCACAACTTGTTAACAAGCTTGCTAGAAGCCCGTTGAGGAAATATCTTGTTCACAAGTTGTTGGAACAGCATTGTCACAGCTTGTTAACAAGCTTGCTACAAACCCGTTGAGCAGATATCTTGTTGACAAGTTTTTGGAACAGCATCGTCACAACTTGTTAACAAGCTTGCTACAAGCCCGTTGAGGAAATATCTTGTTGACAAGTTGTTGGAACAGCATTGTCACATCTTGTTAACAAGCTTGCTACAAGCCCGTTGAGGAAATATCTTGTTGACAAGTTGTTGGAACAGCATTCTGTTAACAAGCTTGTTGCAAGCCCGTTGAGCAGATATCTTGTTGACAAGTGTTTGGACAGCATTGTCACAACTTGTTAACAAGCTTGCTACAAGCCTGTTGAGGAAATATATTGTGGACAAGTTGTTGGAACAGCATTGTCACAACTTGTTAACAAGCTTGCTGCAACCCCGTTGAGCAGATATCTTGTTGACAAGTTGTTGGAACAGCATTGTCACAACTTGTTAACAAGCTTGCTACCAGCCCGTTGTGGAAATATCTTGTTGATAAGTTGTTGGAACAGCATTGTCACAACTTGTTAACAAGCTTGCTACAAGCCCGTTGAGGAAATGTCTTGTTGACAAGTTTTTGGAACAGCATTGTCACAACTTGTTAACAAGCTTCCTACAAGCCCGTTGAGGAAATATCTTTTTGACAAGTTGTTCGAACAGCATTGTCACAACTTGTTAACAAGCTGGCTACAAGCCCGTTGAGGAAATATCTTGTTGACAAGTTGTTCAAACAGCATTGTCACAACTTGTTAACAAGCTTGTTACAAGCCCGTTAAGCAGATATCTTGTTGACAAGTTTTTGGAACAGCATTGTCACAACTTGTTAACAAGCTTGCTACAAACCCGTTGAGCAGATATCTTGTTGACAAGTTTTTGGAACAGCATTGTCACAACTTGTTAACAAGCTTGCTACAAACCCGTTGAGCAGATATCTTGTTGACAAGTTTTTGGAACAGCATTGTCACAACTTGTTAACAAGCTTGCAACAAGCCCGTTGAGGAAATATTTTGTTGACAAGTTGTTGGAACGGCATTGTGACAACTTGTTAACAAGCTTGCTACAAGATTCCCAGAGACACAAATGGTCACGTGGGTTTGTTCATGTAGTGTAAGGGATTTGGTGTGGATTAATATATTGAGTCTACTTAATAGATAGTAACAAATAGTAACATATTAATGTCTAATGAGAAAGTTCGTAGAATATTTACAATACTTATTACTCATAGATGTGAGTAGCGATTTTATTTCGAAAGGAAGAAAGTGGTTTGCTTTCCCTAATTTCTTTTGGAATAGAATTCCAAAGGTTTGCTCCGTCCTACATGAAACTATTTTTCATGTTATTAGTACGAGGTTTTGGTAAACAGAGACCCCTTGAAATGTCCCGAAGGTGATAGTTTGTTTTCTCACATTAATAAGCCATCATCACACTCTCTTTCATTCTTGAATAGCAATGTCTTTCCCAGCCACGGGATTGGAAACAACGTACCGTAATGATTTGAAAGATGTTGCAAAATTACTAAAGAAGAAACATCAGGAAAATTATTTAGTAAGTTCACTTGATATCGTATACCGTAGGGCGAGTCCCACGAAGCATTGTGCAAGAAATGGTGTTTAACCTGCATTTATCGGCATTTAAAAACAATGTATTATTATGTTTCTTGTATAGGTTTTTAATTTATCGGAAAGAAGTTATGATATATCTAAACTTAATCATCAGGTGTGTAGATAAATTTTGTTTTAGGTCGTGAGGTGGAAACTTTTTCCTTTTTTTATGGGAACCTAGGTTTAGAGCTCAAAATTTTTTGCAAAAGGTTACAAATGTATATAGGGGAAAATAACGAAATTCTCGTTTGTAACTGTCTTGTAGTGTTGTAGTGTGAAGCAATATGTCGTTAAGACTGTAAGACTAACAAGTACTGTAGATACAGTCTATACAGGATTAAAAACAAATTTCTTTCTGCTATGTGAACATTTTTGATGAAATTGTTCCACTGTAATTTAGGTATTGATTTAGTAGATTAATTAGGTATTCACACAATCATTTCAATAATCAGGTATTTAATAATTTAGATATTCAATCAGTGTAATTTTCAGAATTAGCTATCAAAGATCAAAAAATGTCTGTGAAAATTTCTGCAAAAATTTAGATCCCAAAAAGTTCAGGCACTAGGTGCCCTGGTTATGATATTTTTCCACCTCTGCTTTAGGTATTCTAAAATATGATTCTGGTAAACTAGAGCGCAGATTGTAGACTGGTTATCCTAATTATTTCATCTTACTGTATAAACCTAGGTGTTGGATTTCGGCTGGCCCGATCATCTCGCACCCCCGTTAGAACGTTTACTCAGGTATGTAGTGTATAGTTATTAGTAGTAACAAATTTGGCTTAAGGTTACAGAACATCTTTGAGTGTTAATTTTGCCTAAAATTTTTTTTTGGTTTCCATGAAAGCATTAGACTAGTTCTACTATCTGACCAAGTTTGAACGAAAAATGTTGAAAACTCGCAGAGTTATTTAATAAAATTCATTTCGCTGCAATAAGAAAAACATTGAAAATGTAATATTCAAATTCAATTTTCTCGCGAAGAATTTTACGTAGACTACGACATAGTCTGTGTGCCCCCATTTCCGCCACGAGCGTCTGTGACGCAGGCTAAATTTTACGGTAATTACTGATTTTCAAACAAGTTGTTCTCCTGCGGGTTTTAACCAATTTTTCTCAAATTTTCACAGGACTTATAGCTAAAGACGTCAGTTTCAAAATTGTGTTCGGCTTTTTTTAATTTTGGATATTTTAATAATAAAGAGCAATTCACTCAAACAATTCAGAAATATATTGTAGTCGTCAAAGAAATCGCCATATCAGCGGAATGACGAAATAAACAAAAATTTCCGAACACTTTAGAACAACTATTTTACTGCAATAAAAATGATATTTTCGTAAATATAACTTAAAACCAGCAGGAGTACAACTCAAAAGCGTAACGGTACGCGATTTAAGATTTTCCTGAATAATTCTTACATCATTTTATTGTTTGTTAATTTTACAACTTTACCATATTTTGCATGCGCTGGCGAATATTTGGTGAAAATTTGATGAAAATCGGACTGATATTGAGCGCGCAGTAGCGATTTTCCGCAAAACGCCAAAAAGGGTGTCCTGTAACCTTAAGAGTGTGACTACATATTGTGAAAGTGTTAACGAAAAGGTTTTATATTCTTTCTTTCAGCATATGTAAATCAATTGATTCTTGGTTGAATTCGGACCCACAGCACGTTGTCGTTGTCCATTGCAAGGTAGACGTGCTTAAAGAACATTGGCAATAAAAAATTAGTTGAGTTCATTTCAAAGAACTCTTAAAACTATATATGATACTCTATTACAGATTGTTTACATCTTGCTTAAAGTGAGCTGTTCATCTTGGATTATTGAGGATATGCATTATGCATGTTAAGTCAATTAGAGAGGGGAGCTAGGGGGTCACACTAACTTTTTATCTTCAGAGTAAGCGATCAATATGGGTCCAAGATTTCGTTTCTGGTTGCTGTCTTAAATTTAGAAATGATTAAGAAGATTTCAAACAATTTTTTATTGTTACTCTGTCATTTTAGAGTAGTTTTATATGGTTAACCCAACTCCTGCAGAAGTCATCAAAACCTTTATCCTTTATCCTAACTAGTATCCCAAAGGTCGCGTGTTCGATTCCCACCGTGGTCAGGCAATTAACTTTTCAGCTTTCCCGGTGTGGATACACACTCAGGCCCCAGTTACACGATATCGGATTCGTATCGTAGCGACATCAATTTAAGGTGTTTTCCAGTCTCGTCTGCTCTTACAACTTTTCATATATGAAATTTTTGTTTAATTATGTTATATTATCATAATTTTAACTGTAAATTTTAACTGAAGCAGTAAAATTTGATGTCGCTCCGATGCGAATCCGGTATCGTGTAACTGGGGCCTCAGAGTAACATCACAAACATAGTTAATGAGGTCAAGAATTAGTCCCAAGATGGCGAGCAGCTCATTAATTTCGGTCTAAATATTTCGAGAACTAAACAAGATATGACAAATCGGTAATAGAGTTTATTATATAATTTTAAAAGTTCTTTTGAATGAGGCAAACTAGTTTTTATTGTCATGTTACCTTTAACAGAATGTTTCTTCAACACAATTTGTTCAACGTATTAACAGGATGCATATTGTGAAATTCCTATATCTAGGGTGGAAAAGGCAGAACTGGTGTTGTCATCGCATCTTACATGCACTACAGCAAACAGGCTGAGAGGTGGGACTTCTTGTTCTGACTCGTAGTTTGAATATACTTTTCAGAAACCTGTATATTATTAAGTACACATTAGAGAGTTTAAGCTTCGCGTTATACGGCAAACGGCAAAGAAACATTTTACTGTACCGGGCAATACGGTGTAAATGAACTTGCTGTTTAAAAACTGCAATGCATGATTATTCTTTCGACACAAGAAAGAAAATATGAAACGAAAACGTTTAGCAAAAATTTTGCGAAGAAAGTTCGAACCAGCCGTTTGCCGTTCCCGGAAACGCAAAGCTTAAACTCCCTATTGAGTTTTTTGCTAGCGCAAGTACGCGGCAATAATCATTGGCGTACCAGTCAGGTATGACTAAAAATGTTAAATCATCGTACCCAACTAAAAAAATAGGGTCTTCGCTCGAAAAGTCGAAGTCCTGTTTATCTTTCCCAGGTATCATCTGTATATACCTGTGGATTTTATTTTTGCGGAGGTAGGCAATCTTCAAATGGTGCTATACAATCCTGGACAAAGCATCTGTGACACTTCCAATTACTTGACAAAATGTCGTAATATTATCGTATATTTAGAAAACTTCATATAAAACGGATAAAACGTCCTTCATTATCCGACTTCGGATAAAACGTCCAACATTGTTTTCTTTTGGGGGGTGGGGGGTGGAGGGGGGCAAACGAGTAAATTATTCATGTCTAACTGTTAAGAAAAAGCCTCAAAGGAATGTTTTAATAGAGTGTCGCTGATGGTTTTGTCCAGGATTGTAGGCTATGGTACATTATGGAACTTTAGATTCGCTACGGCTACGAAATCTTGTACGACTACGAGATTTTCCCTGTTAAATATCTGCTACTATAGACTTTTTACCGTCCCTTCTTTTGCATACCACATCTTTATAGCAACAGTTGCGCCACGTGCTATTATAAGTTTTTAGTAGCTGATTTTTAATGGAAATAATCTCGTAGTCGTACTAGATTTCGTAGCCGTAGCGAATCTAAAGTTCCCTATTCTCGTACCCAGAACCCGTCTTATACGCAGTCAAGAGAGCATGACGAGGGTCGAGGGGTACGAAAATGGGTTGCGCCGCAACTGCAGATCAAAATTTAGCCTCTGAACGAGAACAAAATGCCAAGTGTGCCACTTGGGGCTTCCATTGGAAAATCCGAAACTCAAGGCTTAGATACCTAGCTTTTTTGTGATTTTTGGAGTAATACCTAGCTCCAAGCCTCCAAATGACTTTTGAAGTTAGCCAGTAACTCCAGGCTTAGATACCTACAATCCTGGCAAAAACTAATGAAACATTCAGTATAATTAACAATTTAATCTATTCTTCCCCCTTACGATGTTGATTAAGATGAGTAAAAAACCTACACACAGTGCTCTCTGCCATCGATGAACTATTGAACACAATTTTTTGACTCTACGGCCAACAAATTTCAGGAGGGAGGGGATTTTGTCTATTTTATTGATTTTTTATAGGTGTTTCATTAACTTTTTGCCAAGATTGTAGCTCCTAGATTATTTTTGGAGTTATACGTAGCTTCAAATGATTTTTTTGAGTTAGCCAGTAACTCCAATTACTATAATTTTGAATTACACAAGATACTCAAGTGAATATTTTGGTTTGGAGTTAGCCCTTTACACTTTGGAGATAGCGTCGCTCCATAACTTCCTACTTTCTGCAGCCATGGGTAGTTGTATATCTTTTACACCGCAGCGACTTTTACCCCCCCCCCCCCACACACTCATGCACAAGACTTTTCGTTTGCCAGATATTTCAAATAAACTTATTTATATTTTCATTATTTTCTATGTCCTGAAGTCCCGAGGCAGCACTGGATGAGTTTGCTATGAGAAGATTTTACGATGATAAACTAGGCGGTGTTACTCAGCCTTCGCAGCGCAGGTACAGTGCAGCACCTGAGTACAGGATCTTAGCTTTTGGGAGTGTTCCTAGAGTAGCAAAAAGCACGGTTCAAGTTATGCTCGCCCACTGACATTGCAATTAGTTATTTTAGCAACTCTTGGGAAAGTTAAAGCTATTTTAACACCGATACTCTTCCCATTATCGATAATCACTTTATACCAATTTTCACAAACTACATTTTACGAACTTTCGTACGACATATAAAAAGGTGAAAATTATATGCCTATTGTAAGTAGAAGCACTCTTCCTTCTTTTACGAACCTGCACGGCTTTATATAAAATATTTTGGTCCCCGTTACACGGCAAACACAGCCTTCTAGCTAAGGGACCGGTCGTTATTTATGGCGAGGGGGGGGGGTGGTACCGAAGAGAAAAGGGTTGGGTAAACACAATTTTGATTGAGTAAAAGGTTGGATAAATGAAAAACAAAACAACTCAAGGGTTGGGTAATAAAAATTTATTGTCATTTACAAAACACGACTCGCTCAAATATTGAAGACTAAAAAGCAATGTCAACTGTCGTATGTCAATACAATATGTAAATCAATCAGAATCACAATCTTCATTTTCTGATTTGTCAGGAGGCAAATGGTGTCTCCAAAGAAAGTACACGTGCAAACAACATGAAATTTAGACTGCAGAAAATTGCACAAGCAGGTATCAAACTCATGTCACAGAAGTGGTAGAGGACATGTGTGACAACTGAATGGTATCCTTTTGTAAGGTTTTTGGCCAGGAGTGGGTATTTATTTTTTAATTGATATTTGAAGTGGGGTAAAAAAATTTTGACGGTTAGATCAGCAAAATTGTTACCAAGAGAAACATTTCTCTTCGATGCCACACTCCCCCCCCC